CGGTGCTGCTCTTCTGTCCGGTCCCGGCCTGGATCTGGCAAAGAGTGAGTGCAGTCAGAGCTGAGGGGCTGCGGCAAGGGCCGGAGAAGCCAGCCCAGGCCTGCGCTCCACAGGCACGGTCAGCCCCGGCATGCCCAGTGCAAGGAGCACGGCTGTGGAGGAAATCAGCCCCAGCCCCTCTTCCCCCCTGCATTTCCCTGGGCATGTTCACAAGGGTTGGGCTGGCAAGAGGCCCATCCCAGCTTGGGATGACTGTAGCCCCCATGCCTGGGGTCCAGCTCTGCCACTCACCCTCCTGCAGGGCTTGGAACTGCTGCAGTTCCTCTGGCTGCCATTCTGGGGCAGCTCCAGGGCCTGCCTTCTTCTTCCTGTGGAAGAGTCTGAGCAGGCTGGGGCGTCTCCCTTCCATCCCAGTGTTGTTCTGTGGGGGATCTTGCAAGAGAGACACCTGGGGAAAGTCCTGGTGAAGAACTCAAGAACAAAGGCCTCAAGGGCCCCTTCCACAGGGACTGGAGACCCTTCAGAAAACCTCCGGGTCACCAGGTCCCTCAGTCTGCCCTTGAGGGCACCCGCCAAAGGGGCTGGAGACCCCTCAGAAAACCTCCGAGTCTCCAAGTCCCACGGTCTGTTCTCAAGAAAGAGAAAAAGGAAAAGAAAAAGAAAACTCTCCTCAGAAAGGCTCCGGTTCAGCAAGGTCGAGAGTCGGCTGCACGGGGGCTCCGCACAGCACCGCTCTGTCCCGTCCTGTCCCGTCGCGTGCTCTGAGCGCACTGAGGGGCTCACAGCACCGCCAGAACCTTTGTCACCACGTGTCACAAAGGGCCCCTGGTCACCCTGGCCCATCCCATGGGCGATGGCCACCGTGTCACAAAGGGGCCCTGCACACCCTACCACATCCCATCAAATGGCCCATGGCCACCGTGTCACAAAGGGCCCTGTGACACACTGCCACATGTCCTGGGGCCGCCCCCAACCCCACCAACCTCCTTGACATGGGGTAGTGCAGTGACAACAGCCTGCGGATGCTACCAAGGCACCTGCCAGAGGGCAGCCAAAGCCAATGTGCATTGATGTCTGTGCTCTTGTGAGGAGCA